GTATGAGCCCTTAACAAAGTGATTAGAAAAAAAACTGTCTCCAAATTTAAAGCTGGAAAGCCACTGAAATTTAGAAATGAATTGTATCTACATGCCATTTTAGGATTTTGGTAAGTGTATTAACAAGGGATAAGGGAACAAGAGATCTAAAGTTGTTGTTGAGGAGGGCATTTGTATAATGCCAGGTGGGGTTTGATCAAGTGCAATGTATCGGAGAGGTAATACTGGACAGAGAGGAATGTGAAAGGAAATAGTGGAAAGAAGTAGAAGGCAAAATCTATTTATAGCGGTATAGCTATAGGTATGTATGTATGTAAATATATTAATTTATAATGAAAAGGATAGAAGTCAACGTACACACATTTATATGTTAAGTATTAAGATAGCAGAAGGACTTTGGGCCTCTACTCAAGGCCACCCTTAACACAAGAACACTTTGTTCTAATAACCTGGCACTCTGATACTCACTTTTCCCGATAGGATAGGATTGCTGAAGACAGAAAAGGATGTACTGTATAAGCAAATGTGAAGAAAGCAATGGTGACTGGCTATCAAGATAGAGTATCTGGATCTTAAAGGCTTGAAGCAGCCCTCTAGCAGAAAAGCAAATAAGCCTACATGGAAGAAGCACACCAGTCTGTGTGATCATGAGGTGTCAACTGGATTAGGTATCAAAAGACCCAAAACAAACAATTATATCGATGTGAATGAGGGGGGTTGGAGATCCAAAGCCCATATGTAGACAATTGGACATGCCATCACAGAAGGGTTATAAGGAAGGGGTGATTCACCTAGGGTGTAGTATAGCACCAATGAAACATATCCTTCCTCTAGTTCCTGAATGCTTCCTCACGCCCCACTACCATGACCCAGTTCTAACTTACATATCTGGCTAAACTGGAGAACACACATTGGTGCAGATAAGAGCTCTGGGCACATGGAATTCAAGGCAGATAAACTTCTCAGGAACAGTAGTGGGAGTATCAATAACCTGAGGGTAGGGGAATGGTTAGGGAGGGGGAAGGGAGAGAAAGGGGAAACTCATCACAAGGTTGGATATTTAGTGCCCACGCCCCAGGGAGTGGAATAATACAAATGTGGGTGAAGGGAGACAATGGACAGTGTAAGATACGAAATAATACTAATATATGATTGATCAAGGATTCACGAGGGTCGGGGGATAGGGGAGGGAGGAGGAAAAAAAGAGGAACTTATTATCAAGGACTCATGTAGAAAAGAAAAATGTTTTGGAAGTGATGGCAACATATGTACAAATATGCTTGATACAATTGATGTATGGAATGTTACAAGAGCTGTAAGAACCCCCAATAAAATGATTTTTTTTAATTGTGTACAAATTGTTCATGTCTGTACTGATCTCAAGATAACCAACAAAATGTCAATTACAAAAGGAAGTTAGCCTTTCCCCTAGCACCAACCCCCAGGCTCAATGTAAACAGAGCTCAATCAGTTAAGTAATCAATCTGTACAAAACAACAACTCATGGATTGCAGCTCAGTTAGACTAAACTCACATTAACTCCTCATATCAACAGTATTTTAAATTCTATGCCATTGGATAAATTGTTGATGTTAACAATGCAATAGCTTTATACCCTAGGGGGGATGATTGTTTTTTTTCTTGGGGGGGGGGTATTATTTGTTTTGTGTTTTTGTCATAATGACCACCAAAGTAAACCAGTCATTTATAACTTGGGGACAAGTGAATGGATTTGGGGCTCCCACATACCTGTAATTCTAGCCCTAATGCAAGAAGTTAGTTCTTTTAACATGGCCCTGCTCAATACTGGCCTTTATGAAGTGATTACAAAGGTAAGGAATCTACAGCAAAGTGTGGTGAAGAAAGCAGATGATGCCTGGCTATCAATCAGAATAGTGTTTGGTGTCTTAAAAGCTTGTATTCAAACAAGCAGCCATAGAAGTGAGGTGTCAACTAACTCCATATCAAAGCAGCACACCAGCCTGTGTGACCCCCCCAAAGGTAACAATAACAAAATCTGAATATAAGGAAGGGAAAAGTGTCAGAGCTTAAATTGGGAAATTTAACTGTAGAAAGCTTTGGGGGGAAAAAAGAAAGCTTTGGAGAACAGTAGGAACCCAATATCCATCTAAAAACTATCTAGTCTGATTAAGCCCCTGGCAGACCTAGTCTGATTAAGCCCCTGGCAGACCCTCTCTGGCCACAGGTGAGTGATTCGAACACCTCTACTATCAGGCAGAGAATATTGTAAACTCAATTATGGTAGATAGAACCATGGTACAATATATTTGGACAGTTGACTTTCCCCTTGACCCAACCGGTTTGCTCTAGGCTTGAATATTTCTCGTTTGTTCTAGGGCAGAAATTTCTTCTCTGGTTTTTATAATATTGTTGGTGGGCTTTTCTGTCTCTTTCACTCTTTATTTTGTTTTTATTATTTTGAAGTTTCCCAGTATATGAGGCACAAAAGAAATGGATGCACAGAGGACAGTGACTGATGCAATGATTTAATGGGCGCAGCGTAGGGTGGGGAGGGTAAGAATTGAGGAGCAATCAATGAATTCGAGAGGGGAGGAGGAAGCATTAGAACTGATTGTAATTATACACAACTCTTTTTAAAAGCCATTTAACCATTAAAATGTATGATATGTGAATTATTATATCAAGAAAACTACTAAAGAAAAACAAACCAAACTTGGCCCATGCTAACCATGGGTTGGAGTATTTTCGCTTATGGGGCACTGAGCTTATTTTAATGAAAGAACAATTTGGACAGGAATATCAATGAACATTTGTACAACACGAAGAGTATAATCAATGGCACTGAATTATGTAGAATTTGTTTAATAGGAGAATGTTTTGTTTTTGCCGCAATTGGAAGAAAATTACATGAATAACAAGGAGTGCAATGAAGAAAATGTTCTAAAACTGATTGTGGTAATGATTATACACTGAACTTTTGAATTGTATGCTATGTGGTTGAAGTGCCAATAAATACATATATATTTTAAAAGTTAGCAGTTTTTAGTCTGTCCTAGAGGGTGGCAATGCTTTTGAGAATACATTGTGTAAGATACAAGCATGATCTTAATGAAATATTGGAAATGTTTTCTCTAGACCTACAGTCTCTATAAGGGAAAATTTCCCTCCCAGAGGACATTTGACACTATCTAGAGACATTGTTGATTGTGTAATTTGGTGAGTTGGAGTGGTAAAGGCATCTAATGGGTAAAGGCCCAGAATGCTACCCAACATACAGGAGACTCTCATGATGAAGAATTACCCAGTCCAAAATGTTCAGTGCTTGGTTGGGAAACTTTTCCCTACACATACTGTGTGAAATACTTGGGGTCTTCAATAATAAACAGAAAAGGATGTTCTCAAGAAATGTTATTCACATATCTTGCTTCAAATATACCTATTGTTGAATCCCTGTATCTTCATCCACTAACCTTTCAACAAACAGCATAATTATAAATTAAACACTGAAACTACTATACCTTCATTTTCAGATTAACTGCCACTATATAAACAATAATATAAATGATTAAAATAAAATTATCTATTACATTAAAACAATGATTTTCTAATCTGCCAGTGAATTTGGGTCCCTGAAAATTCTGCTTGCCCTTGGGTATCTAGGAGCTAGCGGGCCTGAACAAAGTCAGGTTTCAAAAATGACATGTGGTATAAGTTATCCAGATCCTCTTATCTGAGCTCCACATTTCAAATAACTGCTCCATATTGTTTATTCATTTATACAAACACACTAAGCAACTCAGGAATACAAACATAAGACAAACATTTTACAACCGTCTAATATAACAAAAAGACAAGCCGTTAAAAGTGAAAAACTGTATACACTATAAATAGAAGTATCAAATGAGTGTTATGGAAGCTTGAGAGGGAAAGAATTCGAGGAAAGGGTGGCTTCCCAGAAGAGTAATGCTTGAACTCAGAAAATGTCCCAGAAAAAAATGCACTGTTCACATCTTAGTATTCAGAATATACTTGTAGTCTGCTCATACAGTTCTCAAGTTTTTATTGTCATGTAAACAAGAACACAATGACAATCTAACTGATTCAAATGGCCCAAAGAGGTACAATAAACTCAATGTCAAATCTTAAATAAAAAGTAAAATAATAAACATTTGAACAAAGTATGTAGGGTCTAGTACCTCCATCCTGTCCAACTTCCAGCATTCATATCTTAAAACTTCTTTCACCAAATAAACATACCATCTGCCATCCAGTTAACAAATGCTTATTTCTCAATCTCTAAGACTGCCAAGGGAATAACCACTGTTTTCTTTCTTGCTGTTGAGTTTCCTCCAAACCGGGGTTTAGTTCCCTCATCTTTTTGTATCACCATCTTTATTTTGAATTCTGCACCGAAGAGAAACCCTGGAGTTCCAAAGTACATGGATTATAAAGCAACCACTGGCTTAGTTTTCTAAGTCTAGTCTCTATTTCTTTTCTGGGCTACTACTGGACTCTTCTGAACCCACAGCCACTGACATGGGTCAAAAATTCGGATATACAGCGATAAAGTAGCCAATGACTGTCTCGACTCGTTGCTAATATATATCACTGACGTTCTGTAACTTTTAGCTTGCTAATATATATCACTGACGTTCTGTAACTTTTAGCTTTAGTTCTCTTGTCTAGGGAAGGTTACCGCAAAGCTAGTAACATTCAGATCCGAAACCCTACATTTAACTACCGAATGTCTCCCGTACCCAACCCTGGAACCTTCAATAATGGGCCCGTGGAATTCCTAACAAGGTCTCTCCATCGGCCGAACTTGCGTGTGAAGCAGAAGAGGATGGGTTTAAGTATTAATTCTAAGGTCCTCATGACTGCCGTAATTCAGAAAGCCAATTTTTCTCCTAATCTGGCTGTACTCGGAACACGTGGGAGAAAATACTTTCACGCCACGGAATCGACCCGAATTCTCAGATATCCCCTTGAAACTAGCAAACGAAGACCCACCTACCTACCCTTTTTCTCGCGCGGCAAATAAAGCCCATCCCCGTAGCACCGCCAAGGAGATGCGGGAGACGATCGGTAGGGAGGGTCTTCAGGCGCTGCCTCCGCAGAGGGCCGGCCCACCGCCAGGCGAATGAATGAGGACAGCAACTACACCGGCGCCCCCTCAGCGTGGGCTGCAGCCGGACCACAGCGGCCCAGGCGCCATCAAGTCCATCCCAAGGCCGGAAAGGCTAGGCCTGGGGGCCGCCAGGCCGGGGACGGGGACCCCACCCCCTCCCGAAGAGTAGAAGGTGAGCGACCGGCGCGAGACTTCGGCGCTGAGCGGGCCTGGGACGCCCCGCGCAGCCGCCCGCCCTGAGGGGAGGAGCCTGCGGGTCCCCGGTCGCCGCCCGGCTCCCAGCTTACCGCGATGCGGTGGAGGCGCGGAAGTGTCAGGAGTGAGGGCCTGGGCCCGTTTGCCACCCGCCGCTCGCCGAGCAGCGCGCGGCCGCCACGAAACCGTCGCCGCCGCCACAACCTCCGCTGTCGACCGCCACTCCGGGCGCAGAGCGCAGAGGGCCCGACTGCGTCACACGCTGCCCGCCGTCAGAGGCCTGCTCCAAGCACCCCTTCCTCGCTGCCTGAGTATTGGCAGTCGAGGCCGCCACTCTAAGCCCGCCCCGGTAGTCATTGGGTAACTGGCCTTTTGAAACCGAACGTGAGGGCGGTCTCGAGAGAAGGGACAGGGGGGAAGAGGAGGGGCATGAGGAGTTAGGGAGAGGAAAAGAGGAGGAGCGATGGAAGGGGCTTTTGGAGTCCCGCCCCTACGCTGCCGCGATTGGCTGGGAGAGAATGGTGGCGTCACACAAGGCCCCTCGAAGTGGGTTGCTGAGTGGCTAGGTTGGCGTGTGGCGGGCGGGGTGTGAGAGAGGAGTCGTGACGCCACGCCGAGGCTCCGCCCCCTTCCGTGGTACCGAGCGACTCGGGCTGCGGAAGCTCGGGCCAATCAGAAGGTAGGTTCCAGGAGAGCATGCTAACTATTCTACCCTGCCCCAGCCCCAGTCCCCCGGTGGTTATGGGAAGGCTTTCTGAACGTGGACTCGCACTTCCTGGTCTGACCACGTGCGGAGCTGGAGGACCCCCTAGGAGGCCAGCCTGTCCGCAGAACTTGCCTGCATCTACGCCTGAAACCCAATTCTCCGCCTCCTTTGTTGACCCATGCCAACAGTAGTACACCTTTAACCCACTCAGAACCTTCGTTTCCTTCTTTTGTAGGAGGGGCGAGAATTAGCTCATATCCCCTAGGGTAGGCTTCGTGAACATCCGAAATGCCCTGGCCCACCCTAGAGCCTGATACAAATAACAGCCACATATCTCAATGCCAGCGAATTGATTCCGACTCACAGTAAACCTATAGGGCTGAATAGGTTTCTGAGACTTACGAATTTTTACAGGATTTGAACCAATGGTGGTGGCCTTATGGTTAGCAGCTCAGTGTATAATCCAGTAGGCCACCAGCGCTCTGTAACTGTTGCAAGACTGTAAATCTTTAGGAAGCAGACTGCCACATCTTTCCATCACCGGCCTTTGGGTTGCAGCTGAGTGCGTAACCACTGTACCACCTGGGCTGCTATCTGACAACCCTTATTCTTTAGGAAACAATCAACAACCCCCAAACAACAATGCTGTCAAGTCGATGCCAACTCACAGGGACCCTGTAAGATAGAACTGCTCCTTTGGGTTTCTGAGACTCTTTCCGGGAGTAGAAAGCCCTGCCTTTCTCCCTCTGAGGGATAGGTGGTTTAGAACTGCCCTTGCTTTTTGCCAGTACACCACCTGGACTCAAATATTCCCGCTCTCTCTCTGGGATGCATTTGCCAACCTTTCAAAGCAGAGGTGGACTGGTTCTCTTGGTAGGACTCTGTTACAATCTTGTCACTTTGTATCTTATATCCTTTATATTCCTGGCTTCAGAAACCTGATTACAAGGTGAGCCGTATTCTAAAATCTGGATTTCTTTAATGACTGAGCATCTCATACAGATTAGCAGGGTTTGTGCTCATGATCAGAGAATGTTTGCAGACTAGCTCTCCACTACCAACTCTGTCAATACAAAACTGAAATAGGCTCAGTTTAAAACCCTCTGGGGCTTTGAAGGTAGCAAGGGATTAAAGAGAGTTGATTAATTTGTCAAAAAGTAAAGTGGTTGTAAAGAACTGGTGTGAAAAATCTGTTACATTGTAGGTGTTTACTAGATGAACTCCTTCCAAACAGCCCTCCTGTCCCTCTACTCTTCCTTATCCTGCCGTGAGGCAGAGCGCTACATCAAGCCAGAAGCTCTCCCTGGTGACTGTAGCTCCATCACTGCCCTCCTGAGCCTTCTCATCCTCCAGGGCTCAAACCCAACCCCATTCTAGCCTTTCCTCTACTAATTTATTTTGGTGTTCTTAAGGTTTGAATCTAGAGCAGTGGTTCTCAACCTTCCTAATGCCGTGACCCTTTAATACAGTTCCTCATGTTGTGGTGACCCCCCAACCATCAAATTATTTTCATTGCTACTTCATAGCTGTAATTTTGCTACTGTTATGACTCGGGCAACCCCTGTGAAAGGGTCATTCGACCCACAGGTTGAGAACCGCTGATCTAGAGGAACCCTTGGGACATAGTGGTCTGAAACCACCAGCTGCTTCCTTAAAAGGGGACAGGTGTGCTTCTACCCTTCAGGGTCACTATGAGTCAGAATCAATTAGGCGGCGGAGTTTGGTTGGTGTTTTTTTGTTTTGTTTTCTGAAGGCTTCTATCAGAACTTGATTCTTTTTCAGAGCTAAATATATATTATTTTATGTTATCTATTTGTCAGTTGGGTTAGGGTTTTTAATGATGCTGCCATGAACATTTGTGTACAAATGTTTTAATTTCTCTTGGAGTGGAATTGCTGGGTCATAAGATAAGTCTGAAATTCTCAAAGAATTGCCAGGCTGTTTTCTAAATGATAGCCCTACTTTACATGCTCACCAGCAATATGTTTTCCAATTTTCCCACATCTTTGCCAGCATCTTTTGCCACTTACGATGTTTTGGGTTTGGGGGGGCTTTTTTTAGTTATCCCCTAAAAACTAAACTTAGTGCCATTGAGATGATTCCAACTCATAGTGATCCTATGGAACAGGGTAGAACTGCCCCTGTGGGTTTCCAAGACTGTAACTCTCTTTGGGACTAGGAAGCCTCATCTTTCTTCCAAGGAGCAGCTGCTGGTCTTGAACTGCTGATATTTTGATTAGTAGTCTAATGGGTAACACTACGCCACGAGGACTCCCTTAAAGTTATCCTAGGAGGTGGGAAGTAATATCTCACTGTGGTATTGGTAAACATTTCCCTAATGACTCAAGCCATTTGTATCTGTCTTTTTTTGCATTCTTTTGGATCATCCCATTTTCATTTTTATGCCAATTTAGAAGTTAAATTCTACCTTTCTATCTTTCTAAGTTAAATAATCCCTTTCTTAGGGATTAACCTAAAATTACCATAAGAATGCTTACCAAAGTATCATAAATATGTCTTTATAGGCAGGCTAGAGTTCCCTGAGACAGAAGAGAAAGCATTCCAGGCCTGTTTCTCCACATGAACAGGGAGAGCCAGGATGTGGTGTCAGGAAGAACTCAGTATATCCAGGAATGCAAACTGGGACATCACCCTAGAAACGATGGAGGCATCACAGAAAATTCTATGAACAATGAAGCTTGGGGGGAGCTGGGGAGCTGATGGCAATGAGTACAAGATAAAAACAAATGTTCTGAAATTGATAATGCAGAAGATTGTACAACTCTTATTGCTATGATTGAATTATTGAATTGTATGATATATGAAATATGTGCCAATAAAAAATTTTAATTAAAAAAGGCAAAAAAAAAGAACAATGAAGATTTAATTATTGCATTAGGTAGAGTGGAACTGGGATAAGGTAGGTGAGCTTTAAAGCTACCTATGAGGTGTGTGTGGTGGTTATGCGTTGGGCTGCTAACTGAAAAGTCAGCATTTCAGAACCACTAGCTGCTCTGTGGGAGAAAGCTGAGACTTCCTATGCCTGTAGAATTACAGTGTTGGAAACCCAAGGGGGCAGTTTACCCCCGCCTCTACAGGACTATATCACTATGAGTCAGAATTGACTCAATGGCTGTGAGAGTAACCTAGTTATATCCCCTTCTCTTTCTTATAAATCCTAAACCTCTTCAAATCCTAGTTCGGTTTGGTACAATTGAACAAATAGTTTCCAAGTTCCTCTACTGTGCCTGACCCTGAGCTAAGCGGAAAGATCCAGATCTATCTGAATTGAGCTCCTGGGAAAGTGCAAATAGGCAACACGTTATTTTGCTGCTGTTGCCAGGGTGGGCACCAGTGCCATCTGTGGACTGAGTCCCTAAGTAGAACATGACATCTAGGGGGAGATATGGATGAAGCTGAGCAGCGCAGTCATGGCAGCGAGGAGTGGCTAGAATGTAAAATATGTGGTGACTGAAGTAGAAGATGGCCAGATATAAAAGATGTTCAATACCACACTGAGGAGCCCTGGTGGTGTAATGGTTATGTGTTGGCCTGTGGTCCACATGGTTGGCAGTTTGAAACCACGAGCAGCTCCGCAGGAGAAAGACTGGGCCTTCTACTCCAGTAAACAATTACAGTCTGAGACCCACAGGAGGTCACTATTGAGTCAGCATTGATTTGATGGCAGTGATTTGGATTTTGGTTGAATACGACCCTAAAAGCGTTTCTCTTGATTCTGAAAGCTCTGGATAATTTGTGGCCAGGGTGGGACATGGTCGGATCTATGTTTTAGGAAAAGCCAATGTGGCTGGAATGTGGAGGGTAATGGACAGACAGATGAAGGCAAGGAAACCAGTGAAAGAGGCCTTCTATAGTAACTTTTCCGGGACAAGCACATCTCACCCACATTCACTTCTGCTACTCCCCCCTCCATCTTTGTAAACAAACTAGCTTAAGGTATTTGGTATAGGAGCTTCAAAGAGTTCATGGAAATATCCCATTGTCTTTTCATTCAATTTTTCTGGGAACTCTTTGAAGCCTCTTCATCTGTGTATGTGTGGGTGGGGTGTGAAGCAGTGCTTGTGGCTGCAGGTGGACATGGTGGTGCTCTTTCAGGCACCAGTGGTCTGGCTATGTGCAGACACGCGGGCAAACGGAACCAAACAGAAGGGCAGGAGCCACTGGAAGGCCTCCACAACAGCAGCAGCTCCTTGGATCCTGGACAAATGCCAATTCAGCAAGTGCTGAGCCCCTGCTTAAGTTGGTGAGATGAGATGCTTGTTTAACTTATTTACCTGTAAAATGGGTTTCAGCAGCGTTACTGCACCAGATTATTAAGAGGACCAAATAAAAGAAAACACATAAAGCCCCTGACATCTAGTAAGACCTCATTCTTCTGCTTTTCTTCACCTCAATCAAGGTAGGTGAAAGCCTTGCAAACTGACAGTGAGGCAAATAGGGTCAAGGAGAAGTCAGGTGCAGAAAAGGCTCAGACAGGAGGAGAGTTCAGAAATCCCACAGTCATCAGCATGCAGTGGGTACCTTGCATATGCCAGACATACCGCTAACTGACCTCATTTAATTCTCACAGTAATCCTGTATGTGGGTCTTCTTAAAAAAAACATTCACAGAAGAAAAAACTGAGGCTCAGGGAAACATGGTGAATTCTGCCCAGGGTCACCAGAGAATCAAAGTCAGGATTAAGCCCCTCAAAGTTCAGGAATTGGGGATTCTTAAGAAGCAGGGAGAGAAAGAAAAAAAAAAAAAGAAGCAGGGAGAATGGGCCCAGCCTTAAGAAATGGTACTTAGGGAAAGGGGGCCAGAGGCAAAAACACCCAAAGATTGGGTCTAATTAGACATTTAACCCCCAGGCAGAAAACCTGTCTAGGTAGCTGAAATTGGTTGGAAATGGTTCCTTTAGTAAA